TTACGAATAACCACTCCTGGCTGAGAACAAATGCCAGATAAGTCCAGGTCTATCTATGACAAGATTTGATGACGTAAATATGCAAAAGTCTTGTTGATATTGATCAGGTAATAAATTTACAAGCTCCCGGCTAAAGTACCCGAGTCTTCTGCATTTATCCAGACTAATATTTCAGGATAAGGATAAGGTGCTGAAAGAGAGACATAAAGAGAAAGGGGCGAGGAGCAAAACAGAAAATATTCTTGTTCAAAGCTGAGTCATGATTATGAAGATAATAATATTATTCGATAAAACCAAGGTATGATTACTTAGGCCTTTTTCTCTGTTAGGGCAAGTAATCGTATGAATAATGGAAACTCAAAAGAACTAAATTGCTAGCTATAATGTTGATTTACAGAATACAATGAAGAAGCATAGGGATTTGATGCTTTACTGATGTTTAATTTATCCCATTTCATTTTAACTAAGTAGCTCAAGAAGTCACAAGTGAGCTTTTCTAAGTCTGCTTGTCATAGGATTTCTTCATAGGAAGCTGAGCCAATGCAAGGTTACGAACATGAGTCGCAGACTTCATTAACAATCAAAAGTAACATCAATATCGTTGATTAGTTACATCCTGCTATATCGTAAGGAGCCGTAAACAAGTAAAATGTTTTGTCCCATAGACATGTATAGATTGAGGTTATCACCCCACCGTCATGAATAATAATAATAATAATAATAATAATGGTGTACAGTTTACTGCAAAACAGACTGCCAGTGTCTATCCTTAAATGTGATACTATCACCATGTATTAGAAACTAGTGACGCTGTTGTTAGATCCTAAAGACATTTACAAACTATTTCCAGAACTCCCATCCTATCCCAAAGCACTTTTCTATGGTCTACCGAATATCTAGACATCTACGGATTTGTTAACAGACCATAAATATATAGTATCTCAATAGCCATTTATGCAAGTTAAAATCTAATGATAATCTGATGATTCCCCTTCGCCCAATAACCATAAAAGTTCATAATTTCATGCTCCCATCCCAAACGTACGGATTTTACTTAACATTTGCAGTTGCCCCAGTTTCTTCCATAGCATTTAGTTTCTGTTTCAACTAGACAAATAAATGACTAACCCACATATGCGCTTTAATTATGCTCGATCATATGAAACTCAAACTATCCTGAAACAATGTGGTTTCAAATCATGTTACCAGTTTAGAATATTTCAATGTACTCAGTTTGTTAGCATCAAAACGTTTTACTTCTGTCATTACTTACCTCCCTACTCATAAATTTTCGACACCAGCAATTAGTTCTCATCATCGCCAAAATGTTAGCCAATATGACTTGAAACCAACAATTATCGACATGAGTTAACCTAATATCAGTGTGATATGCTAGATGGATATATACCTCAATATACAGAAGCCTTATCTGTCTGATTTGCTGGCAACATGCAACAAGCAGAAACAGTATATTCCAAAGGAATATGTAAGAGAGTCTAGATTTCCCACTATCAGAAGATACCACAAACGCAAGTGAGCATGATATCACAGAAGGTAGGATTATGGCGTTCTGACGAGCAACAGCCCCAATTCATCCATATATGTCGAGCAGAAAATTTTGTTTATTAACAGTTCGTTCAGGTCTAGCGCTAGGTCATTAGTTCATTTTATTGATTTTACTTCATCGTACTAACTACCTCTTAACTCAAGATTTTATGAAGGCTTCACGTTTACCAGGAGAATGCGACTGGTTTTTTAGAAACATTCATTGTTATAACCAATTGTACCAGTGATTGTTCAACTGTACTTTTCGTTGATAACACTCCATACACGCAAATTTTCTGTTTGTGTTGCTGCCATTCTTGCTCCATCATCTCTGAAATTGCGCCTCATCTTACTGGCCCGATTTCGGTATTCTTTCGATACCACGAAATCGCCAGCAACCATATTCTTCATTAAGGAATAACCCTTCTTCTCTGTGATGGGCTCGTAATTGCCGTATAGGTAATTACTATCAATAGCGACTCGATCGCCGATACAATATAGATTTTAGTTTGTTTTACCTCCTAACAGGCTAGTTTGCGCAGTTGCGCTCAAAAGGATTTCATGCTTGACTCGATAAAACAAGTTATATGTCAACAATAAGTATTAATAATCTATATGAAGTAACCGAGATAGTTATGTTCACAAACACTTTTCTCACCCACAAAATCTGTATAACCTTAAACCTTTCAGTTCTTTTAGACTTCATTATTTCATATAGTACATTATTCTTTCATTATTGTTAATTGGCTTGTTCGATTGATCTACATGTAAATGCTCTCGCGTAACAGGTGGTCTAGTAAAAAACAATAATTCAACAACTAACTCAGCAACGCTAGCCATGGAAATCCTCTCTTCTGATTATCGTTTGTTCTGACCAATTACTGAAAACACAGATTTCAGAACTTTAACTTTGCCCTACGTCATAATCAGTGCCCCCTATGTTTTACGAAAATTTAGGATTCTTTTTTCAGATGCCTTCCAAATGTAATATCTGAAGAACAGTATCAAGGACTACAGAGCTTTATGTTCTTAACTGAATCAGTTTACATTTATCTCACTATATGTCGTTATAAACAGCTCTGGACTTTACTTTTATTGATCCCCAACCACCAATGGTTCTTCTAGATACAGCCTCCATAAAGTGCGTCATTCCGATTTTTATGTGCTCAAATTTATCTTCCTGTTTCTATATCCAGTATGCCCTGTTACGAATATGCCTAGCTGAGTAACTTATTATCTCTGTAGATGTACATGTCTTGCATGACACATTTTTATTTGCGAATAAATATTATTAGTACCTTCAGCCTTGTGACAGTTTTCCACAACAAAATGTTAGGATTATCTTGACGGAAGAATGTGAAGTTATTGCATAATTGCTATCCATTTGATTGTTTTTATGTACATTCTCACTCAGATTCTCCCTCATTCACCTCTCAGATCGTGTGAATTCCACCCTTTCTACAAACATATTATACGCGTATGAGAGAGACCCTCTCACGTGCCCCATGGCCACGGGAGTGGTTGAGGCTGACAGTAGATAATGACTGGCAAACAGTGAGAGACGTCATCCAAAATGCTGTCGTTAACAATGTACCTCAGTCACACCACACAACCAGGAATAGAAGAACATGGGTTAGGTGCGGCACTGAACGCTTGCTACAGGCGAAAGGGAGAGCCTGGCACAATTGGAAGGATTCCGATCGCAGTTCTTACTTGGTATCGAGAAACAGATGCAATACCAAAGTTCGAAGTGGCAGGAGACACTTTCAGATGAAGCTTGCTGTCTAAATACAGGCAAACTTTAAGCATCTGTTTGGGTTCATGAGTAAAAGAAAACCTACGAATCAGGGGTCGCGTTCCCTCAAAGGTCTGAATGGTGAAGACCTCACCAACATAGAGATGGTTAAGATCTTCAACACAAACTTTACCGATCCACATGTTCAGAATACTGCGCAAAACCAGTGCCAGCTGACAGCTTGCGAAATATCCGCAACACTCCTGACTTAGTACTAAAGAAACTGAAATCTTTACGCCCAGGAAAGTCACCATGTTGTGACCTCATAGTCTTGAAGCAGTTCACAGAAGTCCTCTGTTCACCGATATGTGACCTGTTCAGGCATTCACTGGATTCACACCAACTCCCAGCTGGATGGAAGCAAGCCAATCCCTCAACAATCTTCAAAGGAGGAGATAGAAAGGACCCAGCCTGTTGCAGACAGGTCACATTACTACCAATACTGTCAAAGGCAATTAAAGGGTTGGTGAAAGAACAGATGACGGAGTACATGGATAAGGAAAAAATATTCCATGAGGCTAAACACCAGTTTCGGAAAGGCGGGTCGTGCTCATCTGATCATCTTATAGCATGGGACTGAAAAATACGGGTGCGCGTGATATTTCTCCATTTTACGAAAGCCTTCGGGACATTACCCCATGCACACCTAATCGTAAAGGTTGTGGAAATGGGCTTCACTGACCAGCTCGTGTCTTGGCTCAGAAACTATCCTGAGAACAGAAAGTTTCGTACCAAAGTAAATAGGGTGCATGCGAGTTGGCGAGTACTCACATCAGGAGTTTCACAGGGGACCATCTTAGGCTCACTTTTCTTCATGATATTTATTAACGATCGGCTGAGCTTCAAAAGGACCTTAGAGCTTTAGAGAAATGGGCGGTGAGAAACTGTTTATAACTCGACCAACCGAAGTGGAACGTCATGTATATTCTGCTTCACATGACGCAAACGATTTCCACCTACGAAGGGAGTCCATTGCCTAATGTCTTCTCAGAGCTTGGTCTCGGTTTAATAACCACAGAAAGCCTCCACATGAGTCTGAACTATATAGGGGAAGTAGTCTAGGCAAATGCGGCCCTTCACTTTATGCGAAGACAACTTGGTGCTATCACCCCTCAATTATTCTTAATTCTATTTAAGACATAAGCGCGCCCACTCCTTGAGGTTCACAAAATCATCGCAACCCCTCTACCCGAAAGAGACATAAATCTCTTGGATCAAGTACAGACACGAGCAACAAAATGGGTGACAGCTTTGAAGAATTAACCTTACGAAGATAAACCACAGCACTTGGGATTATTTCCACTAAGTTACAGGAGAATCAGAGGTGAGCTGATTATGGCTTACGACATATTAAGCACGCTGAACCATCCCAACATGAGCACCTTACCGATGCATCACCGCCACTCCCCGATGTGATAGCTGCTGGTATTCGGAAACCCTACTGCCCTGAAACAAACGTTTTCATTCAAATCACGGGACATACAAACTCACAATCAGTCCAGTCGAGTGGCTAAACCCCCATTCATCAGACATTACCTAAAACCTACAACCGTTTCGAAAGAACAATAATCGAGTGCAAAGAAATCAAGTAATTAATATCAGCTCGTGAAAATGATATTCAATATAATTTATTGGATATTGAAGTCGTTTTTATTGTTTTACTTGCTTGTATTTAAGAACGTGGATGTTTTGAACGCAGCGTACTTGTTTTCGTGCTGCCTCAAAGAATGGGAAAGTCTAAAAAAGAAAACACAGACGGTGAAGCTAAGCAATCAGTGACACTGAAGAAAGAAGTTTCTGTGTTACAAGGTGTGAGCATTGTTGTCGGAGTTATAATTGGCTCTGGCATATTTGTTTCACCTGTTGGGGTTCTGAAACATACCAAGTCTGTCGGATTATCATTTATTATGTGGACCATTACTGGATTATTCAGTGCACTGGGTAAAATTTCACACTTCTGCTTAATATTGGTCAAGGTGCTATTGTATATGCTGAATTGGGTGTTACTATTCCTCGGTCAGGTGGAGAATATATTTACATACTGCAGACGTTTGGACCCTTACTTGCCTTCCTGGCTTTTTGGATTACGTTTGTCGTAATTGGATCTGCAAGTTGTGCAGCAAATGCACTTATTTTTGCCGAATATGTCCTTCGACCAGTTTACTCGAATTGTGTTACTCCTGCTGCTGCGATACGCACTGTCGCAGTGCTAGGACTGCGTAAGTGTGACATAACTGCTTATTGCTGTGAAAAGTTCTTCTTTGCTTTGTGCATTGTTTTAGTGTCAAACTCGCAACAAAAGTTGCAGTTGTCTTCACTGCTTGTAAGGTTACAGCTTTACTTATTATAATTGGTCTCGGCCTCTACTACCTGGGCAAAGGTAAGATATACTTTCATAAATAGCATTTATATAAGTTTTTACCTCATTCCCTCACTAAACACTGTTGTTTTAAATAGGTAACATTGAGAGTTTCCAAGATTCATTCCAAGATAGCGAAAAATCACCTGGTGAGCTTGCATTGGCGTTTTACCAAGGGTTTTGGGCATTTTCTGGTTGGTAAGTTGTATTAGTTTGCCGTTTTATTTCTTGATCAAGTGTGATTATTTAACCCTGCTGTTTCCGTTTATTCTACACTGGCAATAGTTTTGTCACATTTGAATAACAAACTTTGTCGTAGTGAGTTGTAAATCACAACATGTTCTTCTACGCTGCAGGAAAATATTTTTATGTATCGGAAATCGTCTTCTGAATAGCTTCAGTCATCAAACTTATTATATTTCAACCTAACTATACAATTTCTCAAGTTAATTGATCTTACGCGGCTCCATATTTACGATATTTTTTAATCCACGACATATTAAGCCCCTGACTACTATTGTCCCGCTATATTTCTACTGAAATAGGGACTTGAAATGGAGAACCTTTTTGTACTGAAGTTCTTTTTGCTAGAATCGTTCCTTTAACGTTTTCCAAATCAGTAAATAACCCTTGGGAAATAAGACTACTCAAGCTCATCCCTCTCATGTTTTTCGTCGGAATGTAAAAGATCTAAAAACCTGAAATTCTCATTCGTCTTTTTTTTGAATTCACTATTACTGTAACCGCGTTAAGGTTAAGAAACAACTCATTTCTGTTCTGAATCCTACCATAGTAAGTTAAAAGAGAGATGACTACTAAAGCCATGATAAGTACACCACATATTTTCCTATTTATTGACAGAGTTTGTTCATATTATTCCCCAGAAAAAAAACAGATACACGAAGAATGTTCTGTTCAACTAATGCAATTTATTTTATACTTTAAGTCTTGGTAAACCTAACTAAGTAATGAGTGTTGTTGTGTTGACGAACAACATTTAAGACATAGAATATAAAGTTATTTAATCTTTTTGAATCATAGTCTAATTTGTTTTGTAGGAATTATTTGAACTTTCTAACTGGAGAAGTGAAAAATCCAGGGAGGTAAGCTCTAGTAATTTGTTTATCGTAATTCATTTTGTTATATGTATAACCGTGAAATTAGGAAAACTCTTGGTTTAAAAATAAAAAGAAGATGGTTTAGTAGTAGATACTATGAACTACTTCAGTTATTTGCAATGTTATTGTGTAAAGTAGTAAAATGTATAAATACTTGATATTTCCTCAGATAATTAGGTTTTGTGTATTTCCGTCTTCCTGCATTTACTATTATGTTATTTTACGAAATTAAAACTGTAGCTGAGTGCTTCAAATATTACACCTTCGATCTGTAAAACATGGGTTCGAACCCATGTTAGTGTTTAAGCCTATGTTGAAAAATGTAAATCGTCTTGTTGAACAATGCTTAGCCTAGAACAACGATTTATCCACCATTGTAGGTGAAATAATCTAAAAAGCAAACAAGAAAATAAACCGAGCCGAAAACGTTTAGCATGAAAGTGTTTTCATTTTTATCTTTTTCAGGTAAAGAGATTGTTTTATCCGATTAAAACTACTGTGAATAATGACCGTACAAAGTAGTCCACAGTATCTGTGCTAACTATTTGAATCTTGTCCAATGAAATAGTATTCACACTATCTCACATACATACTCAAAACGTCTAGCTAGTTACAGTAAAACTGCTAATGCGTACGGTTACTGAAAACTGGCATTTTAATTCATCAATACCAAACATTGAGGATATTTCTACAAAACTTCACTAGTTTTAGAACTTTTCACTAATATGAATTAATTTTATTTTTTCATTTATAGGACTGTCCCGATTGTAATTGTACTCTCTCTTACATTAGTAACACTGATTTATGTTTTGACCAATGTGGCCTACCTTGCAGTTTTATCACCAGTAGAAGTTCTCGCTTCGGAAGGTTCAACGGCAATAGCTGTGGTGAGTACTTTTTTATTCACAAATCTGTTATAAATATTCAGGAGCTGGTTACTTTTGTCCTTTATCTTACAATCTTACAACCATTTGACCACCGTTCACTCATACCATAATCTAACTAATCATACTAGTTGATCATCTGGGTTCACAATGACGTAAATACCTACACCCATTTAGGTTCTCTAGTTTTTTTTATGAAAAATTAAACTCCTTCGAAGTGCCTTCAGTAGTAATATTTGATTGTTTAAGTAGAGATAAGTAATTATTCCAAAATATTTTCAAATGTCACGCACCAACTCCAAATCAATAATAAGATTTGTATTTATATTGTAACTGGTATCTACGTCTATTTATTGAATCCCGAAGTTTGCATTAGTTTTTAATCAGGATTTTATAGCGTCTTAAATGAAACTCTCACAAAATTGCTTTTAAATGAAGTAAACATCATCATTACACGAAATAAGTGATCATAGTTCCCTTGATAAATGGAATGACGATCAAAACTTAACAACTCTTAACGTGTAACCAATATCATCGTTGAAAAGACTTAACCGTTATTCTCAGCAAGATGCAAAAGTCAAGCAAACTGGTCCAACTGTTTTTAGTGCGTTAAAACTTTATTTGTGCTACATTGGTTAGCATATATCTGTACTTGTGTGCCCGAAAATAGCTAACCTAAATTTCAAACACAAAAAACTATCATAAAAAGACTTCAGCAAGTATTGCAAACTGTTTGATTAAGTATAATATTTGGTTAGTAAAACAACTAAATCGATATACGTCTGAATCTCATCATAAATACAGTAAACCTCACTTAACATATGCCGACGTTGGAGGCGACACGTCTGTCTGCTTATCAAGGAACAAGTAAATCGTATACTAATTTATAATGGTGTTTCGTTCTCTGAGCTGGATGTTTTGGTTGTGGAGCTTTGATTGTTCTTCTGTTGAACAACATCATCATCAGCACAAACTTCAGATAGAGGAAGTGAAATATTCGAATTTCTCCACTAATTTATCCTAAATCAACTGTTTGTACTTTCCTTTCTTGATTTTTACCAAGTTAGTTTATTTTTTTTCCCTATAATATACAATGAAATAAACTGATGCATACTTTTGTCATTACCCACTTAGATTAATAACTGATCAAGTCAATAGTAAACGTATACTGTCTCATAATAGAGATAAAAATAACCGCTGATAATATGTAGCAGTTGTACTCTTTTCTGACAATAAAATCCAATCTAATAAGTCTCCTACCATGTATGAAAATTTATTATCTTCATTTTTTCAAAGCCTAAACAGGCTTTTAAAAACGTTTGTTCTACCCTATTTTTGTAACAGTTGGTCGGTCAAATAAATTAGTTCAGAAAATGAAAACTGTATATGAGTAAATAAATGGCTAGCATTTTCTTGCAGTATGCATGATTAGTTTTATTTCCACAATAATCTTTCTATATTTTTTCTGAACAAAAAGTATGCAATTCACCATGAATATAATAATCACACTTTAATTCGTCGCACAACACAAAAAGTCGCATAAATATGTGTTTTTTTTTAAACTTCTTTTATATAGAGCTTTGCAGCAAGGACTATGGGAGTTGTGGGTTTGATTATGCCAATTCTTGTAGGTGCTTCAGTTTTTGGTAGTATAAATGGTGAAGTATTCTCTATTTCTCGGTAAGTGGTTCAATACTTTTATTCTTGATTTGTTGCTTGCTCACTCAGGTGTCCCAGGATATACGACACCCGAGTGAGCAACGCTATTATTAGGAAACGGGTGCTAGGTAAGAATGACAGATCAATAGATGAAGTAATGAAACTTCATCAGTTGAAGTGGTTGAGACATGTGCTGCGTATGCCTAACCACCGAATGCCTCGACGAGCCTTGTTTTGTAGTGTAGGAATAGGTTGGAAGAAAATTAGGGGCGGCCAAACCAAAACATGGCAGAAATCCATGAAGTCATTGACGAGTGGACTTGGTCATGTCGGTAATTGTCGACTACCTGGTTGGGGTCCGCGAGATGATAATAATCGATGGTTAGATACACTGAATGACATGGCTAAAAATCGTTCGCAATGGCGCCGGTGCATTTATTCTTTGTGTTCTCTCAAATCCTAATCTTCTGGATTCTTCAACACCTCTAGTTTTGTCTTTTTAAACTTTTCTCACTGAATCATACTTCTTGAATAATATCTTCTAATCCTAACCTCTCTGATTACTTCGAATACCTTTACAACCTCTTCTACTATTGGATTTGAATTGACAATTATATCTCTGTGCTGATAAGGTATGGCAACATGAACTGATGATGTACTTACGTACAAAGTTCTACGTTGCATCTGACTGACTGACTCTTGTTTTTTGTTAAGTTCATTATAACCCGGTAATGCATGTGAAGATCTGATAGTTTTTTACTGAAAACATTTAGTTCTTCATCAGTAATCTTCATTTGTCAGTTTATTTTTGCATATTATATTATATTCTTACCAACTCATTAAATCCACTATGTAAAACTATTTTGATGAGTTTATACTCTAGATTCTGAACAGATTTTATAAACTTTGACGAGTTTAAGAAATCTTAGACATTTAGATTAAGAGCGGAATTGGAATCAGAGCATCAGTAAGGAACATCTGGGTTTTTTTGACTGGAGCTGATTTTTGTCAACTATCATTCAGGAATTTAGTCAACTTGACGCATGCAAATACGGAAAGCTCAGATGTTATTTAGTGAACTAGCGGCTCTAGCACATGAGAGATAAATACATTGCTGCGTAATTACCATATGTGCTCGTACATAACTAAAAAAATCATTGTATCTTTAGTAATAATGATCTATCGCTTAACTAAAGCTCTAGAATAGTGAACACGATTAATTGAAACTGTTTGTGAACTTGGACAGAACACTTTAGGGAGCAGTCCAACTGGCCTTCAGCCACACATCAGTTACCCAACATCTCCAATAAATCTGAACAGCAAGTTGATGTAAGTCATCCAAATCTTAATGAGTTTGCAGACGTTATGGGCAGTCTAAGACAAGGGAGAGCAGTAGGCATTGATAAGTTAGCCCTCTAGACTTTTAAGGATGGTGAAGAGCAGACTCGAAAAACCAGCCTAGTTGCAGACCTGGACATTTACGTTGGGACCGAATACTCACACTTTATCAGATCGTAGAACATAGACTTTTTTTACGAAGTCCTGGAACAGTTGTATTCCTAGACCTTAAGGCGGCTTTTGACTATTGATCGTAAGGTTCTATAGCAGTGTCTGTCAATGAAAGGTGCCCTTAAGAAGTACATTAACCTTGTTCAGACTCTCTACTCAAACAATACTGGCCGAGTGTTAGCTTATAGCGAACTATCATCGGAATCGATTACTTTGAGTGGTGTTCTCCATTCTTACTTAACTTTCTGATTGGCATGCCTTTAGAGAAGCCACTTTAATCGTCTGAATTCTCAAAAATCGATCAATTTTTGACAATTCATCTTAAGTTTATTTTATTTGGGTATACTTCTTGAATCAGATCTTTGATCTCCAATCTTTTCCATTATTGCTAACACTACTACAACCTCCGCTACTATGGTATTCGAACTGACCATTCTATCTCTCTGTGCTAAAGTGGTATGACAAGTAGAAGTGATGTACGTACGTACTAAGTTCTGTGTTGTAGCTGTCTGAGTGACTAGCTCTCCACCTTCGATAATTTCTGACATCTGGTTTATTTCAATTTGTGTTCCTCCCATTCAGTTAATTTGCTTTTTTTTTCACCAAACTGCAATGGACACTCATTTTGATCTGTAATGTTATTTATTGATAATCACACAAAGATCTTTCAAGTTGATGCAATACTTATTTGAGAATTTTCAACGTTTCATTGAAGAGACTTCTCATTTAAGTAATTACACATATTTAGATTGTTCAAACTTCTTATTTTTTGAGTTTTGAACAAGCATTAACTGTTTAGTTTGGATATGAAAAGTCTAAGTATTGCATATTAATTCACCAATATAGTTGAGAATAATTTTAACAAACCCAATTCATCATTCTTGTAACATTTTGATTATTTAGTTTAGATTTTATTATTAAGAACTTCAATCGTGCTAATATATTTTATTCAACTTTATCAATACTTTAATTGGAATTTTTTTTAGATTAGCATTTACTGCTGGTGAAGAAGGACATATGCCTGCTCTTCTTTCAATGGTTAATATTGATCGTCTCACTCCTATTCCATCCATATTAGTTGTAGTAAGTTAATTTTTAAAAATTTTTCACTTTCTCTACACTATTATTCATGTTCAGATTATTCATGATAATTTCGATTTTATAAATTTTCTCAATGTACATTTTCATGTCATATCAAATGTCTACTCTATGTCAGGCAGCTTTTAACATTATTTTACACATACATGTTCACAATTTTTCGAAGTATTTTTTTTAAAGTGTTATTCGCCTATAGTGAAACCATACAGAGTTATCAATGTTAGGGTTAGTCATATTTTGGTTGATGAAGCTGACGAAACCGTTTGTTGCATTAAATGAATTACTTTCTACTTCAATTCGTTATTCTGACTCTAACCCTAACCGATAGGGTTGTGCAGAGATTACAGGCAATCTGATCAGCACTTGTTATCAACTGATTAAGTTATTTACTAATAACGAACGACAAGATTAACCCGACACATATGTGTGTCATATAGTTCTGGTTGGACAACGTCCACGAGGACGTTTGTGCGTTTAAATTCGTGATATTAGTATGATTGTAGTAAGATGGTGGAGAAAATTTGTAGCCCAGGTGGATGATTGTGGTGGAGATTCGTTCTCTGAGTTGGATGTTCTGCTTGTAGAGCTTTCGAACAATTCACTTCTGTCCGAGATTTGTTCTGATTATGTTGTGTTCAGCAGAAGAACGATCAAAGCTCCACAACCAAAACAACATCCAGCTCAGATAGACGAAACATAACCACAATACTATGATTGTACTGTGAATAGTTATTGTTTTAGTATCCATGTTAGTTAAGATGTTGATGTCATCATCTATTTTCATCTATTTTGACTATTCAACTTAAAACCAATTACTTATTGTTTATATATTTTTTTCTCCATAGGTATCTCTATCTGTAGTTTTTCAAATGTTTGATGATGTATTTTATTTGATCGAATTAACCGGATTTGCATTCTCAGTAATTTCTGCAATGGCTGTTTGTAGTTTATTATACATTCGTCGTACAAATCCTGAATTGAATACATCAGGATTTAAAGTAATTCATTTGTTTATTTGTTTGTTTGTTTATAAATTTATCTTTATAATTCGTCAATTATCCAGTTACTCATTACTTACGTATTTTTACTTTCTTACGCCTGTTACCCCCAATTGAGCATAGACCGCCTACCAGTTTTCTCCAACCAACTCTGTCCTGGGCTTCCCTTTCCAGTTCTGTTCAACTTTTGTTCATTTCTCTCATCTCTTGCTCTATTTCTCGGCGTAATGTGTTTCTTGGCCTTCCTCTTTTCCTTTTGCCTTGAGGGTTCCATGTGAGGGCTTGTCTCGTGATGCAGTTCGGTGCTTTTCATAGTGTGTGTCCTATCCACTTCCACCGATTCTTCGTGATTTCCTCCTCCACTGGAATCTGGTTTGTTCTCTCCCACAGTACATTGTTGCTGATCGTGTCTGGCCAACGGATCCGAAAAATTTTGCTACGACAACTGTTCATAAATACTTGTATCTTCTGGATGATGGCTTTGGTAGTTCTTCAAGTTTTCAACCGATACAGTAGAACTGTCTTGACATTATTATTGAAAATCTTGATTTTGGTGTTGATTGATATTTGTTTGGAGTTTCAGATATTTTTAATTGTATAAATGCAGCACTTGCTTTGCCAATCCGCTCCCTCACGTCTGCATCGGATCCATCTTGATTGTCGATGATGCTGCCCAGATATGTAAAGGTGTTAACGTCCTCCAAGGCAACTCCATCAAGCGTGATTTGGTTGACGCATGTTGAGTTGTATTGTAGAATCTTACTTTTCCTTTTATGTATATTGAGACCTACTGCTACACTGGTCGTCTTCTCTTGCATTTGTTGTTGCGTGTACGATAGAAGAGCCAGGCCGTCTGAGAAGTCCAGATCGTCTAGCTGCATCCTAGCTGTCCATCGAATTACTGTGCTTCCATCCAGTTGTTGACGTCTTCATAATCCAGTTATATTCATATAAATACTGAACTAAACTACTTTTTAATCATTACATATAGTTTACATTTTATGTAATTTATTTATTCATTATCCTACTATAATACTCCGAGAATATCTCATCCTATTTTACATTGTAATAATTAAACCCGTAAATCAATTAGCTCTAACTTTAATGACGGGTTACAATTGTAACAGCAACCCATTCATTAATTAATCGAAGTTGAACTCAACAAGAATAAAGTAGGAAAAGAGTGCATTTAAAAAAATAACAACAACAACAACAAATAAATCAGATGGATGAGAAAAAAAATCATTTATTTATCAAGTACGTATTAAGAACTAGATATTGTAGTAGCAGTAGTGTGATGCGATCTACTTATAAGTAGTATATGACGTGGGCGTCAACGTAATGTCTGGCAGCAGAAGATGGGAGAAGATCAAGAAAGGAAGAGTTAAAACACAATGGAATTTGTATGAAGCACATGAACAGTGAAATGTCAGACAATTGATTGATGTTTTGCAACAGGAACAGTCCAGTTCGATATGATGAAACTGATATTTTGCAAATGAACGATTTACGATATGGTTTTCCGATTTTACTGAGTAACTCTGTAATTTCTCGTTAAATACAATCCGGTTGCCCCACCTGTGTTCTCCTTCACTATAGTAGTAGTATGACAGATATACAAAATGTTTATCATGTATGTGCGTGTGTGTGAACATGAGTTCATACAGAGTTAGTTCTTCACTATATAACTTATTCATGATACATTAAATCAATAATTAGACAATATTATTTTGTAAAATAAAACACGATGATTTGATTAAACAGTATTATTATTATTATTATTATTATTATTATTATTATTATTATTACAGACAAGTTGTACAATCCACATCTACTTATGACGGCATAAATTTGTAATTTCAACCTTTAACTAGCGATGATAGGTAGTTTGTATGCCAGGTAGGTGGGTGTGTAATGAGCACTGTATGAAATTATCTGGAAAAAACAAAAGAATAAGAGAAAATATATCGATGAGCTGGACAACTCAATGTACTTACTTACTTACACTTACGCCTGTTACCCCCGATGGAGCATAGGCCGCCAACCAGTTTTCTCCAACCAACTCTGTCCTGAGCTTCCATCCCCAGTTCTGTCCAATGTTTGTTCATTCCTCTCATATCTTTCTCCATTTCTCGGCGTAATGTGTTCTTTGGCCATCCTCTTTTCCTTTTACCTTGAGGGTTCCATGTGAAGGCTTGTCTCGTGACGCAGTTAGGTGCTTTTCGTAGTGTGTGTCCTATCCACTTCCACCGCTTCTTCCTGATTTCCTCCTCCACTGGAATCTGGTTTGTTCTCTCCCACAGTTCGTTGTTGCTGATGGTGTCTGGCCAACGAATACGAAGTATTTTGCGAAGACAACTGTTAATAAACACTTGTATCCTCTGGATGATGGCTTCGGTAGTTCTCCATGTTTCCGCTCCATACATTAGAACTGTCTTCACATTTGTATTGAAAATCCTTATTTTGGTGTTGATTGATATCTGTTTGGAGTTCCAGATATTTTTCAATTATAGGAATGCAGTACTTGCTTTGCTGGTCAGAGCCCTCACATCTGCATCGGATCCACCTTGACTGTCGATGATGCTGCTCAGATATGTAAAGGTGTTAATGTCCTCCAAAGTATCTCGATCAAGAGTGATTTGATTGGTGCATGTTGTGTTGCATCAGAGAATTTTGCTTTTTCCTTTATGTATGTTGAGACCTACTGCTGCAGAGGCTGCTGCTACACTGGTCGTCTTCTCTTGCATTTGTTGTTGAGTGTGCGATAGAAGAGCCAGATTATCTGCGAAGTCCAGATCGTCCAGCTGCGTCCTAACTGTCCAGTTGATACCGTGCTTCCCTCCAAATGTTGACGTTTTCATAATCCAGTCGATTGATGACCAGGAGAAAGAGAAAGGGTGAGAGTAACCGAAATGGACTAATGAACTATAACTTCGGCTTATCATAAGGATATTTATTATGTTTTGGATATTTTAATCATTATTATTCTCGATTATTAAACTATTTACATGTTGTTTGTTTGTTTTTTTTTTGCTTATAGTTGCCCGTCTTTATTCCTATATTATATTTAATTGTCGATATTGCTATTGGAATTCTTGCAATCTATCAAAAACCTACAGAATGTGCTATTAGTCTAGGTGTAATGTTATTAGGTATACCGGTTTATCTTTTCGGTGTTGTATGGAAGAATAAACCAAAATCAATGCAATCATTGATATGTAAGAAGCTGGGTTTGTTTGATTGTTTCTTGTTTGTTTTTTTTTCTCGATTAAGTTTAACGTTGTATAATTAGATTGAAACTCATTGTTATGATACAGTTTAGTGTAAACAAAAAAGAATGTTCATTTGTAATTTGTAAAGCTGAATTTATCGGATTGATTATTACTGAAATCATAAATGAATCATTGTTAAACTACCGTTAAAAACCTGGAAGCATTGAAAAACGGCTGTTTTGTCCTGGTATGGGACTCATCAGGTAGGTGCACATCCATGACTCCTAATACTTGCAGAATTCGAAACTAGAACCTTCGGTTATGCGCGTGAACTTCTAACCTCTGGACCTGAGGTTTCTTATTTAACTTGTGTGAATTTCTCTTTTATGGTGTCTCATGTTAGCAGTTGTTTTATTACTGTAATTAAATAACATTTTATAGCATATCATATATTTTCAATTAGAGTTAGATGACAGCCAAGTGGTCCAGAGTTTAAGCGTTCGCGTACAAAACCGAAGGTCCCGAGTCCGAATCCTGCGAGGTGCAGGAATCGTGGATGCACACTGCTGATGAGTCCCATATCAGGACGAAACGGCCGTCCAGTGCTTCCAGGTTTCCACCGGTGGTCTAACAGTGACTGATTCATACATGTCAATACTAAGTCAGTCAGTCAGTTTTAACGTAGGACTTCGTACGTACATACGTCAGTTCAAGTTGCTATACCACATAAGCACAGAGACGCGGCAACAGGGCTTCCAGATACACAAAACGTAAACCGGGTTGATTATCTATGTTGACAAGGTGAAATCAAATTTATGATTTTACTAGGATGCTGTATGCGCGTTTCGGCGACGCAACACACATCGATGTCACGGGATTCCAGAGTCCTACCTCATGAAGACTGTTGCCCTATTTGACACAAGGTTCGAAAATTAGAAGCTCCAGTATGTAGTTAAGAGCGGGGTCTCAGGAGACCGAGAGTGACGTTTTGTGAGCTCGAAACGTTTGCATCAGCGGCTCGAGTTGACAAAGGAACGAAAGAAGGGTTGGTCGTGGAGATGAGGAAGTTACTCAGAAGTATAGATAGGGTTTGATTATGACCGATTTGGTCTCATGTGCTGTTGCAGGCATGAGGGCGGACGTCTCTTCCCGGCTGCCCACACTGTGGAAGGGTATAGGCTGTCAGAAGATTCATCGTCCTCGTGACTTCCGAAGGAACTCGGCTTCCATCATGAGACGTCATAAATCGTCTAAACGAAAACCTTTCAGCTTTCAGAGCAGAGTTTAAATGATTTGAATTATTTTTGTTGTTAGAGCATTTTAGCTAGCGAATGGGGGAAGCCAACCATACGCTCATCCCTCCCCCTTTATTTGGGCTTGGAACTGGCAGTAGCCCCAGAGGGGCTCCAGACGGAGTATACTGTTCAATAATTTCTTAATCAGATTTCAGTTTAAAAAAATACAATTGTTCTATTTAAATAACCAATTTCATATGATTTTATTTTATTTTCTTTATGTAGATAGTGTTACAATCAGTTTTCAGAAACTTTTAAAAGTTGTTGAACAAGAAAAAGTCTTAGATGTAGTTAAATCAGACAGTGAATTAAAATCTCTTGGTAATAATCATCAACTGGAAATATCCTAAAACAAACAACAATCACGTTTTTATTATTTTGTTGTAGTATGTTTCCAATATTATCTATTTAAAACTTGTTCAAATTAAAAATTTGATTTCTTAATTTTTCCTGCTGTTAGTACTACTACTACTACTACAACTACGATTTCTATTCAATTGCATTCTTATATTATAATAGTTGCTTTAATTAATTGATATAAAAACAAATCCTGTGCGCTTAATTCAACTTTTTTTTAATTCAACAAAATCAACTATTTGCAGCGCCTTAAGAAAAAAAAACTTCTCTTCCAGCCATTTTGTAAATTTATTCAACGTGTGTGTTTTTATCTCTCTCTCTCTCTCTCTGTGTGTGTGTGTGTCTTAAGTTTCACCAGATCCAGTTTAAATTCAATCATTTCTTATAGAGTTTTACATAAATTTCTACTTTTCTTATTAAATATCAACATATATATAGCTATATATATATACATATGTGTGTATATTCTCGCTTATTCACTTCGCTCTAGCGTTTCTTTTTCACACTGTCACTCTATTCATCCCGTTGTAGATGTATTTTTTTTTTTGCCTCAACTTCCTTTTCCAGAAGTACTTACTTCTTAAATGATCAAAATGAGTGGATAATCTTATTTTCCTTTCCGTTCAGAAACAATTAAAAAAAAACTTTATGTTGTGTACCCTGAATTCTTTCGACCAAATTCCTTTTTTCTCAAACTTTACTAACTAGATCCCTTTGCTTTTTCTTCAATTAAATGTAAATTCCTGTTTGTGTGTTTAAGTGTGAGTGTGTATGTACATAATTGATACACAAAAAAAATCTTCATGATATTAAAAAATGATTAATAATAATAATAATAAAAATATATTTAGTTATTTGTCAAGTAAAGATTTATTATTCATTTATTTTTTTACAACGTTTTTTCAAATCATTATTTGATTGATTGATCGATCGATTAGTGCGCGTTAACTGATGAATGATATCAATCAAATTATCATGTATATATATATATAATATATTCACTATAGTCTCTCATTGATTCAACATCGTATGTATTATATTTACGTGTTGATAAAAGAAACATTATGGCAAACCAAGTACAATTTGACTAAATTGTTATTTAGCCTTTTTTTTTAAGAAAAAATAAAGTAAGTTCATTTATGTTATGTAATAAAGAACTTAGACATGATGAATCGTAAATGATATATTTTACAGCGTTGGAATATGAAGAGCATGAATAGTTTATTTTAGATCAGTTACAAAGTAGAACTTCATATATGATGAGTTCAGGTTGGCATACGGCATCAGCACAGAGATGTAACTGTCAGTTCAAATATAATAGTGGTAGCGATAGTAGAAGTATTATCCGTAGTGGAGTAGATTAGGGTTCGAAGATATGATTCGAGAAGTATAATTCAGTGAGATAAGGTTAGAAAGAGAAAGATAGAGATGATTAAGAATTCAGAAGATTAGAATTCGGGAAAACACAATGAATGAATGCACCTGCGTCATTGAAAACGATTTCGAGCCATATCATTCAAGGTCTCTAACCATCGATTACTATCATCTCGCGCACCCCGACCAGGTAGTCTACACCCACCAATATGACTCAGTCCAGTTGTCAGTGACTTCATAGATTTCTGCCATGTTTTGGTTTGGCCGCCCCCAGCTTTCTTTCAACCTAATCCTACACCACAAAACATCACTCGTTAGATGCGGTCGAAGGTTAGGCATTCGTATTATATTTCCCGACCATCTCAACTGATGACGTTTCACTGCTTCATCAAGTGATCTGCCATCCCTACTAAGTACTCGTTTCCTATCTATAGCATTGCTTACTTGGCTGTCCCAGGATATACGAGCAATGCTTCGAAAATATCTATAACTGAATACTAATAGCCATGTTTCGCATCCATAAAGTAGAACTGAGTGAACAGCTGCGCAGTACAATCGTCCTTTGGTTAGCAGACTGATTTCCCACCTACGCCATAAGTGACGTAATCGAGCCTTTTGTATCCGTGCTGAGATTTCGTCAGTCACCAGGCCACCAGCACTGACGAGACTCTCGAGGTAAGTGGAGCGGTCAAAACGCATGACTACTTCACTCCCTATCACTAGCTCAGATGCCGATACAACGCAATGTCGAAGCAAAATTTTGCATTTCCAGGGTGAGAGCCGCATCCCGAACATGCTTGCATTGTTGCTTAGGGTGGTCAGAAGACTGCATTTTGTCAGCGTCTCCACCGAATAGAACTATGTCATTGGCATATTCTAGATCAATGAGCGATGCACCTGGTAGAAAGTTTACTGAAAATTCAGACGAAGACAACGTTATATCTAGGAGCATGTCTATGATAAAATTAATCAAGAATGGAGAGAGTGGACATCCCTGATGGACACTGCTTGAAGTAAAGAATTCCGGTGACAGTTCGCCATGAGCTCTCACCCGACCAGTGGTGTCCGAGTAGAGAGCCTGTGTAAAGTTAATGTACTTCTTTTATACACCTTTCAATGACAGGCACTGCCACAGAACCTCACGATCCACAGAGTCAAATGCCGCCTTAAGGTCCAGGAAAACAACTATTGTAGGACGCCTAAATGTGTGTCTGTGTTCCAGGACCTGTCGTAGTGTGAAGATGTGGTCTATACAACCACGTCCAGGTCTAAGACCAGCTTGGTTTTCTCTTTTCTGCTCTTCACAAGTTATAGTTAGGCGTCCAAGTTTATTCGGGGCTAATAATTTAGACACTTTATTAGTTAAACTGTTTTCTCTGTGAATGTCACAAGAGGACGTTTTTCCTTTCTTATAAATTGGAACAATTAGGAATTGAGTCCAGTCAGATGGGATTACGCTCAGTTACCAAATTCTGCCTAAGATCTCAGTCTATCTTACTGCTAAAACTGGACCACCATCCTTAAAAATCTCAGGCATCAGTCTATCAAGACCTGCTGCTCTCCTTGCTTTAGATTTCCTATAGCTTTCTCAACTTCATAAAGGGTGGGAGGACTTACGTTGACATGCCATTCAGGATGATTGGGGATCGTGAGTAACCGAAGTGTTGCTAAAGGCCAGTTGAACTGATGCCTGAAGTGTTCTGCCCATCGATCCATTCTCCTGTCTTGAGAATGAATGATATAGCCATTCCTTTCTGAGATAGTTTCGCTAACAGATGGATTTCTATTACCGGCTTCCTTGATAAGTCGGAACAACTGTCTACTGTTACCTTTCATATCATATACAGATTTTAACATTCATCTAACTCTTTTACTGAATTATATAACCAAAAAACGTTACTCTTACTTTCCATTTTGTGCTAGTAAAATATTCACTTGATATGAAAATTAATGTCACAATAAAAGTTTGTTTTTAAGATGCTTTTTTTTCGTTCTCCGTTTGTTACTGTTTAGTAGCTACAATAGAGTAGTAACACTTCATAAAGCAGTTAGATATTAATGCAGTACGAATGATCGAAATGTGTAACTAGTTTTTTTTACACATTTTGAAACCATGGATCAATCAATTCTAGACCACCGTTCAGTGCTTCCAGGTTTCTAATGGTGGTCTATCATTGATCGATTCATGATTTCAAAATGTGTAACTTAACAATCTTTACAACCCCTTGATGTAAAGTTTTTTAAGCAAATTACCGAGCATGAAGTAAATCTTTTTATGCTATTTTAAGTGCAGCAATCATGTAACTGACATCACAGAGAATAAATTTGTCTAGCTGCTCAATGTTATCTGGAAACCTGTTGTCCAGTTTTCTATTTGAATCGTCAATCTTGAATCATCTGCCTAAGATTTTCTGCATTTCTCCTTCCACCGCTGGTTATATTGTTTTTTCATGTTCGTCTGTCTCAATTGTTTGTAAGTTTGTTTGCAAACCACCAGTATACATGATAGAGAAGTAGTGGATATCAGTAGCATCTACTGAACTGGCTGATGCTCAAAAACGCATCCCATCTGGCTATGAACATGGGAAAAGGCTGTGGTGATAGGTAACAGTAGACAACTATTCAAACTTATCAAGGAAACCGGCATTAAGAATCCAACTGTTAGTGATGCTATCTCGGAAAAAGATGGGCATATTATTCATTCTCAATCCTTGAAATTGGAACAATGAGCGAAACGCTTTAGCGAGCAGTTCAACTGACCATCAGCCACACATCAATTACCCAACATCTCCACTAAATCTGAATAGCAAGTTGATGCAAGTCCTTCAAATCTTAATGAAGTTGAAAAGGCTATAGAAAATCTGATATGAGGGAGAGCAGCAGGCTTTGATAGATTAACCCTTGAAAGTTTTATGGTTGGTCCAGTTTTAGCAGTTCGATTGACTAAGATGTTAGCTAGGATCTGGGAACTGGATGCCATTCCATCTGACTGGTCTCAATCACTGATAAGTTCGATCTAAAACCGAGGACAAAAGTCCTCTTGTGAGAGTCACAGAGTAATCAGCTTAGCTAATATATCGTCTAGAATATAAGCTCCAATAATACTTTGACGCCCAAACAGTGCACGTGAAGAGAGGACTCGAGAAAGCGGAGCTGGTTTCAGACGTAGACGTGTACGGGGAGACGGAATATTCACACTTCATCTGGTCCTAAAACATGGACATATTTTTCGAAGTCCTACAACAGTTGTATTCCTTGACCTTCGGGTGGCGTCTGACTCTGTCGATCGTGAAGTTCTGTATGAGTATTTTTCATTTAAGATTGTACCGAAGAAGTACATTAATCTTGTTCAGGCTCTCTACTCGAACACTACTGATCGAGTGATAGTTTATGATGAACTGTCATTGGCATTGATTACTTCGAATGGTGTTCTCCATTTCTCCATTCTTACTTAATTTTGTGATTGACATGTTCGTAGATACGATACTTTCATCTTCTGACTTTTCGGTAGTTGACCTTCTACCAATAAAGTCACTTGTTGACTTAAAATATGCCGATGACGTAGTTCTATTCGGTGAAGACGATGACAAAATGCAGAGTCTTTTGACAACTATCAGCAACAATTCAAGCATGTCTGGGATGCTCTTCTTCCTCTTGAAATTCAAAATGTTGCTTCAAGATTGTCTTGCATTGGCATCTAAACTATTGATAAAGAGTGAATTACTTGTTCGTGTTGACCGCTTCACTTATCTCGAGAGTCTCATCAGTACTGATATACTAGTGTGTGACGAAATCTCAGCACCTCTACAAAGGGCTCGACTGGCTAGGATATCCATTTACTAACCAAAGGACGAGTTTACTGCGTAGTACTTCGCTCTGTCCAACTTAACGAATGTGAAACATGCCCACTAAGAATAGAGGATATTCGTAGGCAATTATTGTTATTCGATCATTGGTGTCTTCAGAGCATTGCTCGAATATCGTGAGAACACCTCATGAGCTCAGGACGCCTTTTTGTATCTCTTTTTACATTCACTTCCCTAGATTATACTTCTTGAATAATTTCTTTGAATTCTAAATCTTTCTATTATCGCTAAAACTTCTTCTACCTCTACTGCAGTGGGATTTAAATTGGTAATTCGATCTATGTAATAATGTGCTATGACAAGTTGGACTGATGTACGCACTTACAAAGTTCTACATTGTCACTGACTGACTCATAGTTGGTTTAAGTTCCAAATATTCATCATTTGTAGAAATGTTTCCTTGTCTTTATATCTGCATTAGATCCACTTTACTCATAAACGCTTTTATGAGTAAAGGTTTTCTACATCCTGCAAAGTTTCTCCATTGAGTCTGATTAAAAATCAAAATTTAGTATTTGTTTATTATTGCATCAGTCAGTCAGATGCAACGTAGAACTTCGTACGTAAGTACGTCAGTTCATGTTGCCATATCACATTAGCACA